CATCCAGGACCAGGCTTCATCCAGGACCAGGCTTCATCCAGGACCAGTCCAAGTTGACTGTGCTTTCATGTTATGCTCCTTCACTGTTTCATCACTTCACGCACTTGTTTTCATTTTCTTTGCACCTCGGGGGAGTAGTCCGGATCAAAATGGACTTTATTTCCTGCAAACCGTTTTCCTCTGCTTCGTGCTGTAGCACCACTTGATGTTGACATCCAGGACGTGAGCTGTTCTGGGTCTCGGTGGTGCTGCTGGTTTGGTCTGTTCTCTGTGTCTTCAGGGAGTTTTAGTGTAGATTTGAACAACTCTAATAAACAGGATCATCTCTTTTCCTTCTGAATCTGCTCGTCCCGTATAATCTTCTCTTGTTCCTACGCGTTCTGTTCTCCAGGTCGTCTGCATTCTTTTACAAGTAAACAAAGTAGTGCTCTTTCTTGTCGTATGCCTCGATCTTCGGTGGTACTCGCTCTCTTTTCCACAGACTTCGGTCCCTCCAGTGCAACAGGTCTTTTTTTATTTCTCCAATTGAAGCTTCCGTGCGTGGTGGAGACTCCAAGATGTCTCATTGTGCGTTTCCAGATTCTTCTCAAACTTTACGGAGTTCTGTTAGCATTAGCATTTCACTCCCGGTGACATTCTGAGCTAAGCTAGCAGCTAGCGTTAGCTGCTTTTGCGTCGTCTTCATCTCGTCGCCTTTCCCTGCTTTCGTTTCTCTTCTGGTCGTCTTTTGTGAGGATGTCATTATGATGATGTCTTCTGAATATGGAAGAGGATTGATATTTATGCGGCAGTCAGTTTAAATTATATTATGGTCAGAGCGCACCCTGCGAGCGTCTCTACTCGGACAGAAGTCCCAAGATGTTGTTTTAAACATAAAATACTTTTATCACTTTATTATTTATTCAGTAATCTTTGATTATGATGTCAGAAGTGCAACAGAGAACGTCACACGAGACCAATCAAACTGTGGTAGAGGAACCTGCAACCAGTAACAGATGTTGGTATCTAACTTGGGTTCATGTAGCTTCTGAAACCGGTCCGTCCGTCAGGAAGGATCAAAGCATTGTGACGTGAGGATCAAACACTTTGATGTTTTTAACCTTTGTGTTTCTCTCCGGTGCCGTCAGTCGGACGCAGGCTGGGAGGAGTACTACGACTACATCTTCCCCGAGGACGCCGCCAACCAGCCCAACCTCAAGCTGCTCGCCATGGCCAAGATGTGGAAGAAGCAGCAGGTGCAGGACGACGAGGAGTCTCCTGAAGAATCTGAGCACGCCGCGTCAGCAGCAGCTCCTCCTGACGGGCCTGACAGAACTGCCGAGACTGAGCCGAACACGTTGGACGACAGCAGCAGCAGCAGCAGCAGCAGCGAGGAGGAGGAGGAGGAGGAGAAGGAGGAGGAGGAGGGAGAACAGAAAGGCAGCAGGGAGGAGAACAAAGACTAGATTCCTCCTGACTCAGAGACCTCCTTCCTGTTTTCTTTACGTTTTTTATGGACTCGTCAAATGTTTCTCAGAAATAATAAAGAAAGTTTCAAATGGAGATCAGTGTTATTCTTGTTCCTGTTCCCTGGAACCTGACTGCACCTCGCTCCATACCATATAGTGCACGCTGCGACTGGGTTTGTGCAGCATCGGTGCACTGGACCGGCCCCGGATCAAAGCCCGGCCGTCTCTGTAGTCATCAAGTCTGATCTGTTTGATGTTTAGCAGCAGGTTTGTTAAAACTAGTTACATTTATGACTGAGATCAGCTTCGTCAAGTTCTCTTTAGTGACCCCTACAGGTCAGAAGGAGAACTGTAGCAGCACCAGTGGAAACGGCAACAAATGCTGAACTGTGCTTCAAGCAGTGATTCAACTAACTGTGTGTGTGCAGACCCTTTCCAAAAAATTAGAATATCATGTAAAAGATGTTTAACTTACATAATTCCAGTCAAAAAGTTAATCTTTAATAGATGATAGATTCAGGGCCTACAATTTAAACCATTTCAAGTATTTATTTGTTTATTTTTACATAATTTGGACTTCCAGCTCATGAAACCCACGACAAGAGGATTTAAAAAAATCAATACTGTGGAGACATCAGTCCAAAAGTTGCAGGACATGAATGTTTTAAACTGAGTGTGACACGAATCATCTACTAAACTCAAAGCACCTGCACAGGTTTCCCCAGGTGTCATTAACTTGTCTCAGTTCTGTTCAATATGGTGAAGACTGCAGACAGAACATCTGTCCAGAAGACCATCATTGAGACCCTCCATAGGATGGGTAAGACACAAACGTTCATAGCTAAGGAGGCTGGCTGTTCATAGAGCGCTGTGTCCAAGCACATCAATGGAAAGTCTAGTGGAAGGACAACATGTGGCAAGAGAAGATGCACCAGCAAAAGAGATGACCGTGGGCTTCAGTGGATCGTCACACAGAGAAGATCCAGAATCTGTCAGAGATCCAGAAAGAGTGGAATGAGGCGGAGTCACAGCTTCAAAAACCACCACATTCAGACTCATCCAGGAGATGGACTACAAGTGTCGGGTTCCTCGGTCCTCTTTTCAGATGAAAGTAAAGCGTCTTTCATTCACAAATTAAGGTCCAAGGGTTTGGAGGAAGAAGAGTGAGGAACAGAGCCCATACTGGTTGAGGTCCAGTGTGAAATGTCCACAGTCAGTCATGATCTGGGTGCAGTGTTCGGTGCAGGTGTTGGTAAACTCTGCTTTCTTCAATCCAAGGTCACAGCAACAGTCTACCAGAATGTTTTAGAGGACTTCATGATTCCTTCTGCTGAGGATCTGTATGGAGATGCAGAGTTCATCTTCCAGCAGGACCTGGTCCCTGCCCATGCTGCCAGAAGCACCAGAACCTGGTTTGATGCCACAGTGTTCGACTGGCCAACCAACTGGTCGGACCTAAACCCCATTGAGAATCTATGGGGTCTTCTCAAGAGGAACATGAGGAGCACCAGAGCAACAACAAAGAAAATCTGACAGCATCAAGGAAATCTGGGCTTCCATAACTCCCAGTCGATGCCACAGGCTGATTGTCTCAATTCCATAACTCCCAGTCGATGCCACAGGCTGATTGTCACAATTC